GTGCCCCGGTCCGGGAAGATCCCACGTGCCGCGGAGCGGCTGGGCCCGTGAGCCATGGCCGCTGAGCCTGCGCATCCAGAGCCTGTGCTCCTGTGCTCCGCGACGGGAGAGGCCACAACAGTGAGAGGCCCGCATACCGCAAAAAAAAGAAAAGAAAAAGATTAAATGTGATTCATTAAACATATTTAATGAGTGCCAGTCAAGGGTAAAAAAAAAAAAAAAAAAAAAACCAAAGCTGAGAGAGGTTAAATACCTTGCCCATGGACGTGCGGCAATAAAGCTGGGCCTGGGCGCTCAGGTTTTCTGACCTCTGACCTTTGTTTCCTATCACAAAAGAAGCAAGTTGCCAGCCTTGGGGTTTGGAAGCCATCTGAGGCTTTACCTCTTCTCTTCACTGTTGGCTTTGCCAGGCTGCCCGCCATGACTACAGACCAGCCCACACAGGGCACTCAGACTCCCCGAAGGCCGGGGCCAGGTCTGATTCATGTCTGTACCCCAGTGTCTGACATTCATTCACTCATTTATCCAGTGTCAGCTCCGTAGAGGTGCCAGGCACCCTGCTAGTGTGAGCAGAAACAGACCCAGACCCTGCTCCCTGGAGAGTAAGTTCTGGCGACAAAGGTTGATATTCATCATGAGAAATTTGTGAAAGCAAATGTTTAACTACAGACCGTGATGAGTGCTATGCAGAAGAGGTACAGGGGCATAGGCTGTGAAAAATGGGGAATATACCCCTGAAAAAGGAATATTTGAGTTAAGATCTCAAGAATGAGTAGACATCAGGTGAGCAAAGTGGGGAGGGAAGACAAGAGAGGAGATGAGGTACAAATGCCCTGTGGCTACAGGGAAGATGGAGCATTTGAGGAACTAGAAGAGGGCCACTGTGGCTGGACCAGAGAGAGCAAGCAGGAGAGGCACAGACCAGCCCCCAAACTTTCCTAAGAGCAGTGGGAAAGCCTGCAGGGATTTGAGCTGCTTTTAGGTGTGTGTGTGTATGTGTGTGTGTGTGTGTGTGTGTGTGTTGGGGGACAGGGTGTGGATTAAACAGCTTTGTGCCTCAAGATCACTCTGGCTACAGCAAGAAGAAGAGATTTCAGGGGCAAAAGAGGAAGCTAGGAGGTGAATAAGGAAGCTCTTGCAGAAATCTTGGTAACAGATGCAGTGGCTTGGACCACCAGGCTATTGGCCCAGAGCTGGAGAAAAGTAAAGGGGAGCATTGGAGGTGTTGAACCAGCAGGACTGGAGACCTGGAGCAGAGGGGTTATTTGTCCAGTGAAAGCCTGATGAGCAGGCAGGAGGCCCAGTGCCTGCCCTTCAATAGCAGGCACAGCCTGGGGGGAGAGAGGAATGGGGATCTGACCACGGTAGTTTCCTGGCACAGCAGGGCCGGGGGCCCAAGTGGGAAGGAAGGATTTATAGACCCAGGCCAGCACCAGCAAAAGAGGGAGGGGCTAGAGACAGGGAGGTGAAAGAAAGTTGACCCCTGTCCTCCAGAGCCCAGGGTGAGAAAGGAGTACATTCTACAGCCAAGGAACAGCTGGGGAACAACTAGGCTGCTGGACTACAGAAGGAGGACGTACTGACAGAGGTAGAAAGAAGAGCATTAGCAGCCGAGAGAAAATTCTTCCCTGCTGGTATCTGAGCTCCAGGAGGGGCTGCCTCAGACAGGGTGCAGGCTGTGCCCTCTGCCAATGGCATATGGAGTCGTGCAATGTAGCATGACTGGGGAGTAAGCCACTTGGGGCCCATGCCATAGGCCACCAGCTGAGCTTGGCCAGCCCAAGATGTGTTGAGCTGGGCAACAAGGCAGAGAGTATAAGGCGGCCCTGGAGCCCAGGTCTGATTCCCGACTTCCCACTTCTAACACTGGGGATACAGACCGTGGAATCAGACACATTGCGGGGCCAAGGAGAAAGGATCCCCCAGGTTCTGTTCCTGTTTCTGAGCCATGAATGCCACTGGCTGTCTGGTGAAGACTGTGGGCCCTTCTCAGAATATTGCTTTGAAATGCATGAAATAAAATGTATAGGATGACAAAGGAAACCAACCATTTTGAAATACAGTTATAAAAATATGAAACAATTAATTGCAATTCAGAAATACAGATGCTTCCTTATTAAAGCATTAAATAAGATCTAGTGTTGGTATAATAACTACCATAATTTCAAAAGAGTGATGGATGTAAACAATATTTTGAGATATATTTTGAGTCCATTGCAACCACTAATCTGTGCAGGTACCTAACAGCTGACAGCCACAATCAAGTATCTATGACAAAATCGCCCATAGCACCGTTAACAGCTATGTGGTTTCGGGAATTCCCTGGTGGTCCAGTGATTAGGACTTGGCGCGCTTTGTGGGCCCAGGTTCGATTCCTGCTCGGGGAACTAAGATCCCGCAAGCTGCACGGCGAGGCACCCCCCTCCCCTGCCACCCCCCGCCCCCACAAAACAACAGCTCTATGGTTTTGTTGCCTGTGTTCATAACCTTAGTTAGATGTTAGCTAAAAGATGAAACTGTTTTCCCATCCAACTTCATGAATCCTCGGCCTTCCACGCCCCGCTTAAG